GGCATCGATTCCGAAGTGCAGTGGAGTAGTAGTGCCACCAGTAGTAGGGTAATGGCCAGGTGGGCGGGGACTCCAGAGGCACAGTTGCTGTTACCCAGCACGGGTGGTGGTGGTCGGGTGTGGGGGGGGGAGGGGGGTTGTGTGTGTCTGGGGGGTCCGCGCCCATAGCTCTGAGTTGGGATCGACGGGGTTCTCGCCAGGTGTCGACGATGGCTGGGCCTAATGCACTTTGATTTTACTAAAGAATTGCAAAGAAGCAAAATCGTGTGCTGCCATCTACCGCCCAGAGAGTCTGGCATTAATCATTGCTTGTATCTCTTCCGGCGATGCGGTCTTGACAGCCTTTTGAGCAGCAATTCTTTCATTGCGCTCGCGCTGCGCCGTAGCAACAACTGCGGCAGCCTCTGCTTTCACAGAAGCGGATGACGCCACAGGCTTCCCGTTCGGCGTCGGCGGGGACTGCGCCAAAACAGACGCACGACCGGCCATACTGCTCTTCAGCCTGCTATTGATAAGCGCCTGAAGCTCATCCGGGGTTTTTGCGTTTTTCGCCGCTTCCTGCGCTTTGGTGCGTTCCTCTAAATCCTTACGCGCCGCTGCCACGATCGTCGCCGCTTCGGCTTTAATTGCGGCCTGAGACGAGAAACAGTTTAACGAGGCCCAGAAGTCGTCGTACCTCATCTTCCATTATCCGGCGATCAGGCTCTCGCTTATTAGAATTTTATGCACAATAATAATAAGGATTTACGGCAGTACAATATGTTCCCGGTAACGAATGCTCGATACTAGAGGTTCTTTCCACCACTTGTTTCGTAACATCGTCGTCTAAGTGGAACACCTCCCCGGTGCGGCTATCTGCCGAACCTGTGACCACTCCGCTAATGACATTAGTTTCTTCTAGCCCCTGTCCGAGTTCAATCCTGATAGGTAAGCTCTGGTGCCGCAGTGCCGGAAACAAACCCTTGAAACGAAACGCCTGGGGTTTTGTATCTTGAAGTTCAGCTTGGTTAGTTGCCAAGTTCAACATAAACGTTGAAGTTAGGGGGTCGTAAACCGCCCGAAAGTGGGGTCCTTTCGCCGAGGCTGGCGTTGTGAGTGCGGTAGCGTCGTACATTTTGAGACACTCGGGCGTGAGGATCGTTTTTCGCGAAAAGTTGAGTTTCAACCCGCACTAGACCCGCGCGCGCGCGCGCGCGGCAAATTTTCAGGAGGTGTAGTACACGTCCCTCCGGCCGCTGGCCGGATTTAATTAATAAATATTATTTTCTTATTTCGTACGGGCGTGTCTAGATGTACGTTGTTTCCGGCACTGCTGGTGCGTGTTCTTGACGTAAGTTTGTCCATAACGCGTACCGTCTCCTTCCCATAGGAATCCCCCGATGCCAGCTCTACTCCTTCCTACCAAGACCATCCCATTGCGGTGATTCTCCGGATCATCAGCGTGGGGGTTGTCCGCCTGACTAGGGTACGGTGATAATTAGTTAGTAAGTAGACTACCTACTCAGGCAGGTAGACTAATCGGACCGGGGCTCTCTGTCCTCAATCGCTGGAGTTAGGTGAGTAAGAAA